TATTTTAAATATTTATATTAGAATATACTTTTTATTATTTATTATAGAGTATAGATTATTAATAAACTGTAATATACTAAATAGAAAATAGAAATATAAGTAAATATAAAATAATTTTTTTACTATTTAAAATCTTAACTTTAATTACTTTTATTTTTATTTTTAAAATCTATAAAATTTGGGCAGATCGGGCCTTATTATATAATCTTATAATCTATTTTTTTTAAATAGATCGGATTTGACAGTTTCTGCAACTTAAGTTTAATAGTATTTAAAACTATAATTTTTTTATCTAAATTTAATTAATTTCGAAGCTTTATTAGTTATATTTATAGCTTTTAAATTATTATATTTTACCAAATAAATATAATTTTATAATTAAGAAATATATTCTGTTTAAATAACTTAATTTTAAAAGACTAAAAGTCTGTTTAATAAATTAAATTTTTAAAATATTTTTACTAGTATATTTAACAGAGTATTCTTAGAGTATTCTAATCTAGTATAATAATATAATACTATTTTTTTTAGAATTATATTAGGATTTCTAAATAATTAGTTTATAGTTTTTTATATTTTTTATATTATACTTACTAATATTTATTAGTTTCTATCTATTTTATAGTCGATTATTTATTTAATATTATTCTATTCTATTTTATCTTTTTTATAGGATTATATACTATCTTGATTATTAATATTCTGTATTTTTTTTTATAAAATTTTTATAAGTAATTTAAAAAGATTTTTTATTAGTACTTTTTTATTTTAAATATTTAAGTAAATAGGCTCTAATAAGCCCTAATCTTAATATTAAAAAAATATTTATATTAGATTTTTTATAAAAATCTACTTATACTTTTCTAATCTTAACAGTTTTAATATAGTATATATAGAATATTAACTTTATATAAAATATTATAAAAGTTTCTATTATTTTTATATTATAAAATAGTATTTTATATACTTAAAAATCTTAATAGTACTGTTATTACTTTTTAGACTACTGTTAAAGAATAGAAAGATAACTAATCTAATATAAAAATAAACTATAAGAAACTTATATAATATTTAAGATAATTGTTAGTATTAAAATTAATTATTAAATAATCTACTTTTAATACTAGTTATATACAGTTCTGTAATATACTCTTTCTATTATATAATAATATTTATTATTTTAAGACTATTTTTTACTACTATAATTATATTCTAACTATACTATAACTATATTGTAACTGTATCACAACTATATAATAACCAATAATCACTCTTTATAACTAAATACTACTATTATTAACAGTAGAAAAGGCTCTATACAGACCCCCTTGGCCTGCTATGTACTGCACATGGGGTGGCGGAAGGATATAGAATGAGGGAGGGAACAGAGAGCAAGACTGGCGCGGTAGGGAAAATGTTTGGACAGTATTCGTATCATGCGAACCTGGTGGTGACGAGGAATGAGCAGCTCTGGGGCAGTAATGGCACGCTACATGCAGTTCGTCTTGAATGATTGAGTTCCATCTTTAGTCTGATCCAACATAACTCATGAAGATTCTAGAATAACCTCTAATCAACATGTTCGTCTCGACAGAGAAATTGTTCAGTTGGCCATGATTCTATCACCTCAACGTAAATCCACCACCTCAACCCTCACCCGGACCTCCGACACATCAGCCTGAACCCAGAACCCAATGTCCTTGGTCGATTCCACCAACTCCACCTCTCTCTTGACAAACCGATCCCCATCCGCATCTACATCACCCTCACGCTCATCCTCCCCTTCACTATCCCACTCCTCATCCTCCATCTTCTCCTGACTAACCGGATCCAACTCATCCGTCTCCCACACCAACCTCAGTCCAAAAGCAGGGAGCCCGAACAACCGCCCCGCAATCGCCTTGACCTGGTACGTATCGAACGACCTGGGGATCTCCCTCGTCTTGACCACCTCATCCGCTTTCTCCTTAAGCCCACCATCCTCGTTCTGCCTCAAATAAAACACAAACTTCACCAACCGCGCAGCCACAGACCGAGGATTCACCACTTTCCCAGCTGCATCCTCCGCACTCGTGCGCCGGATCTCTGGCTCGCCGTGCAATTCACACAGCTCCGCATACCGCGGATGCTTGGCCAGGATCGCCGGTTCTTCCGCTTTGGGCGTGGCGGAGAGTTCCTTCGTGATGAGGGAGAGGTAGTACAGTTCACCGTTGGTGCGGTCCTTGGGCGTGATGGTGCCGTAGTTCAGGACCTGGAGGTTGGCTATCCGCGCTAGTGTGAGCATGTAGGCTTCGTCGACGGTCATGGGTTTTTCGGGGAGGCCGGTGATCGACGTTAGGCCGATGGGCCCGTCGAAGAGCGGGTTGGTGGAGATGCGGAGGGTCGTGAGGGCGGGGCATGTGGTGGGGAGGTGGTTGAGGAAGAGCCAGGTGGAGATTTTGTTGCGAGAGAGGTCGAGGGAGGTTAGGGATGGGAAGATTAGCGGGGTTAGGTCTTCGGGGGTGGTGATGGTGCTGATGGCGTTGGAGCGGAGGGACAGGTGTTGGAGGTTGGGCAAGGAGGTCAGAGATTTGAGGGCGGAGAGGGAGGTGAAGTCGTTGTTTTCGAGGGTGAGGCGGGTGATGTTCCCGGACAGTGGTGAGGAGATAGTGGAGAGTTGGTTGGCGGAGGCGGAGAGGAGAGTGAGAGAGGGGAATTGGTGGGTGATGGCGGAGATCTCGTCCCAGGCGAGAAGCGTCTCATCGAGGTATAGCTCGGTGATCTTGTTGAATGTGAGGCCTTCTTCGACGGGACCGAATCGATTGCCACTGTGTCATAGTCAGAACACTTCCTGCCCATACCTTAAGATAGAGACATACCCCAGCTTCAAGGACTTGAGGTGCCTGAGTCGCTCGCAGATCCTTGCCACGGCGCTCCAGCTAGTCAGCAGGTTCCGACTCAAATCCAGCTCCGTGATCTTAGGGCAAGTCTGCTCAATCTCTTCATACGCAAAATCCACTTCTTCCGTGGTAGCCTGGTGGCCCAACACGCCAGCGACCCGCAAGCCATCCAGCAAGACGATCTTCAGTTCCTGAAGCTCGGCCAGTTGCTTGCGGATTTTGTCAAACCCGACCTCCTCGACGACCTTTCCGCTAATCTGGATGGGCTTGTGCAGGGCGACGGAGTCTGTCTCCTGGCGCTGTCGAGCAAGCTCCTGCTCCAGGTACTCCGAAGCGTACTTCTCGCGCAATGCCTCGACCAGCCCGCGCGGCTTGTCCGCTGGGCGCGACGGACGCACGAACGACCCAGCCGTGGGGTGGTTGCGCAGACCTGTGTCCATCAGTACATACTCTTCGACAAGGCAAGACCCAAGCATCAGCAGGTCAAAACTCACATGTGAAGTATCTCACCCCCTTATGCTCGCCCGAATGCTTTCCGCGACTCGGATCATCCCATTCCACCCCCAACCAGTCGCCGGCGGTACCCTCTACCGTACCGACATAGCGAACGGTACACAGATCTCCAGCATAGGATCGTCGCTGGCCAACAGCCGGAGTATCCATAACAGTCTCAATGCTTAAATACCACCCAAAACGATCTCAATCATGAATATCAGAAGATACTCTGTAGTCAAAAGAGATATGCATATCCATTGACAGACGATACCGCGGGACCCACCCCGGAGCACGAACCAATAACAACGCCACCAGCCCGCTTACCTAATGCCAGCTTCTCTCTCCGCCAAACTGCCATCCATCGATGATTCCATCCATCCATCCCATCTCCAACACCAACCAACATACCCTCCACCCTCCCACCCTTGAATCCACCACATAACCCGGAACCAGAGCCTCTCCAGGCGCAAGTCCCAAAATGGACTACCAGGTACGAATCCCCCCAACCCCCAACCCGCATCCCCTCTCCAACCCGTCCAACCCACCCCAAGCCCACTAACACCCCCATCTAGAACCGCGCAGGCTCGAAATTCGGCGGCGGCGGCGTGGCCTCGCACAGCGCGACGAACGCGGACCGCCGCGAGCGGCTCCGCAAATTGGCGCTGGAGACGATCGACCTGGACAAAGACCCGTACTTCTTCAAGAACCACGTGGGCTCGTTCGAGTGCCGGCTGTGCCTGACGGTGCACCAGAACGACGGCTCGTACCTGGCGCACACGCAGGGCCGGAAGCACCAGACCAACCTGGCGCGGCGCGCGGCGCGCGAGCAGCGCGAGGGCAAGAACCAGGACCCGTCCGCGCTGCCGGGGGCGATGGGCGTCCAGGTCAAGAAGCAGACCATCAAGATCGGCCGGCCGGGGTACAAGATCACCAAGATCCGCGACCCGCTCACCCGGCAGCTGGGCATGCTGTTCCAGCTCCAGTACCAGGAGATCACGCCGGGGGTGACGCCGCGCGTGCGGTTCATGTCGGCCTTCGAGCAGAAGGTCGAGGAGCCGCCGGACAAGAGTTTTCAGTATCTCGTCGTCGCGGCCGAGCCGTATCAGTCCTGCGCGTTCAAGCTGCAGGCGAGGGAGATTGATCGGCGCGAGGGAAGGTATTGGACGTGGTTCGATGAGGATAGCAAAGAGTTCTGGGTGCAGATTATGTTCAAGACCGAGCGCGAGGAGAGGTATTCTGGCGTGCCGGGGTTGGCGCCGGTTGAGCCGAATGTCTAATCTCAGCACTTGTTTTTGGTTGTGTTCGGGTTTGGGGGATCTGCGTGATGCTGGTGTTTGGTGGACCAGGTTTTTTCTTTTTTCTTTCTTTTCCCTTAAAATGCATGTATCATTCCTAGCTTATGGGCGGCGTTCTATTTTCAGGGGTTTCGCGATTCTTAGATACTCGGATACTGATACTGGCAACAACACAATGATTCATATCGAGCTTCTCATTGCTCTACCGATCTTCCAATCTACAGCCGCATTCCCAGAATCATAGCAGCCCTACCTGTTCCACAATTACTCCAAGAATACAGCTACTCTAAGTCAGAAGTCAAGTCTAGGTCTAAGTCTAAGTCGCCGTGAAGTCCACATGTCACTCGAATTCCTAGCTACATACACGGCTAGCAGCGAGCTGTCGTCGTCTCGCGACAAGGATGCAATGAAATCAAACGGATATGCCTGGGTCGTGACCAACAGAGATGATGAAATGCGCTATATGCTCGATGAAACGGATGCACAATGTGGTAATACCGAGACGAAATGCCGAGTGCGCCACTGAAAATCCATCAATGCAAGCCCGCCCGCTTTCGGACTCTTCAATGACGTCTATCGTGGGTTCACCAACAAACATGCAATATCCACGTCTATAACTTAGTTTGCCTGGAAGGCATTGAAGGCTTTGTACGTGTAGCCGATGAACGGCAGGCTCATCTCCGCCTCCTGCTCTTCCGGCATGGCCCGAGCCTGGGCGCGGTGGATGGCACTGGTATCCTCCTGAGGAATCTCGTCGATGGGGAAATAAGACACGTCGATATTCGAGCTCAACCGCGGCTCGAAGGGCGCCCGGATGCTGCGCAGCTGCTCCCAAACAACGCCACGGAAGAAGGGATGGTTCTTGATCTGGGTCGCACCGCCGAATTGGCCGCCTTCACTGCCAATACGGTGTTCGGTATCACACAGGAAGCTGAAGCCTGTTAGTTGACACCCTCACAGTGCAGCAAGAACGGAACGTACCTTCTGATCAAACCTTCCGACTCCCGCGAGAGGACAAGCTCCTCAGGGAAATACAGACATTCGCGCCAGTTCACGATCTTACGGTAGGTGTCGGTCGTGTCCTCGGCGCAGAATGGCGGCCAGCCAACCAAGCACTCGAACATGATAGCACCAACAGACCACCAATCACACAGGTAAGTGTATCCCTGCCCGTTGAAAATCTCCGGCGCAATGTAATCGGGCGTACCGACGGTCGAGTAGGCCATAGCGCGACGAGACTTTCTCCACGTGTTGATCTGACCACGGTTGGAAACAGTCAAGTTGATCGCGTCATTGAAGTATCCCGAGTTGCGGTTCTTGTCCTTTGACGTGGAGTTCTTGAGTAGGTTCTGATAGTATGAGTTGTCGTGCGTCTTCTTGCCGCCGGTGGAGAGACCGAAATCGGTCAGCTTAACGTGACCTCCACGATCCAAAAGAATGTTATCAGGCTTGATATCACTGCAGGGAAGTTAGCGTTGTTTCCGCAGATCACAGCAAATCGACCAACCGGTGAAGGAAACCAAGCTTGTGGACAGCCTCGATAGCCATGACTATTTCTGCCATGTAGAAGCGAGTAATGTCCTCCGAGAAGATCTCGTACTTGATCAGCATAGTCATCAAATCACCACCGGGCAAGAACTCCATCAGCAGGTAGAGGTAAGCCGAGTCCTGGAAGGAAGCGTGCAGCTTGACCAACCACGGGTTGTCCTTAGAGTCGGCCAGAATATCCCTCTCGGCACGGACATGGGCCAGCTGGTCCTTCTTGAACATCTCGGTCTTGATCAACGACTTCAGCGCGTAGATCTTGCCATCGGTCTTCCGTTGCACCAGCTTCACCTCTCCGAACGCACCCTTTCCGATGACCTTGATGGTCTGGAAGTTTTGTGGCGTCTCCTTGGTACGCAAGAACCGCAAGAAAGTCGACTCCTTCTTCGCAAGCACCTCCGCCTCCTTGCGCTTCGAATCCTTAGGGACGCCAGAATCACGAATCATCTTATCAAGCTCCGCCGACCTGTAGAAAGGAATCAAAGTCAGTATTGCCTCTTTCACGAAGTTCGACTAAGATCGGACGAGTACTCACCGCAAATTGCGGTCGCGCGCGCGCTCAATGTTCTCATTGAAAAACACACTGACCAATTCCTTGGCCGCCTTACCACGCTTGTGAACATTTTCCGAGTATCGCTCCGGGTAGCGCTGAAGCTCTTCGTTCTCGGCGGGGGTCCGGGGGCTGCGTGGCATGGGAGGGGCCAGATGGCCGGGTTGCTGTTGTGCGGCGGCGGGGGAGCCAGCGGTCCGGGGTCGCTGAGCGGGAGAGGCTGCGCGACCAAAGAAACCCGACCGGGGAGAGTTCAGGTCCTGGTTGGAGAACTGCTGAATCAGGCCATTCGTCCCGTCATTGGCGTTGTAGCCCATGCGGGATCCGTATGCGGCTTGAGAGGACTGCATGTTCTGGCCGTAGTGTTGTTGCTGTTGTTGTTGTTGTTGTTGTTGTTGTTGTTGCTGCTGCTGCTGCTGCTGCTGCTGCTGTTGCTGCTGAGCGTAGGCCCCCTGGGCTTGGTAGGGGTTGGCCATAAAATAACCCTGGCCATAGGCACCATTCTGAGCATCGACATATTCCTGGCCACCCTGGTTCTGGTAGATGGGCTGAGGGAATGCGGAGGGGGTGGTGGGATAAGCGCGATTGTTGGCAGCCGGGTTGTTGAAGGAGCGATCATTGTACCCGAAATTCAGGTGGAGACGATTGTTGTTGGGATCCATGATGGGCAGAACTGTCCTCCCCGAGGCTGAATAGCCGTGATTGACAGAGAATGGCGGGGAGAGAAGTTTAGTTTTGAGGGGAGAAGAAAGGGGGGAGAAAAGAAAAGAAACGAACGATAAGCAGAAAGCCAAGGGGGGGGGGGGGGGGAGGAGGAGGAGTCAAGAATGTGGAAGATGTGGTAGTGGTGGTGGTGGTAGTGGAAGTTCAAGTGGAGTTCGGTTTGGGCTAGACTAAAGAGGAGAGAGACGGAGGGGCGGTTAGAATAAGGGAAAGGGTGGAATGGGAGATTTCAACTTTAAGGGGCGGGCGGCGGCTGATGGGATCCAAACTAAGGAGCGGTGGCTACACTCAGGGCTACTAACTGTACTCTGTAAGTTACTGTACAGTCTCAGGAGGCGAATCTGGCTCTTTGACACTGTCCACCACCTCCACCAGCAATGATGTTGGTGTTTCATGATTGATAACGTGGAAGACATGAAACAATTGCGACTCTTCAAAAAGACGGGTCACATACATCATCCTCTACATTCCCAGAGTAAGCCAGATACAGCAGAATTGAGGCTGGCATGCAACCACAGCATCTCAAAAAGGACTGGATCGATCTGAAACAATCTGGAGAGCATCCATCACCAAGACCGACACTAAGAAGGCCAGACTCGCTCACTACGGCATGCCAGGGTCTCCAGTTGCGTGGTTTCACTATCCCTATCAGGCGAAGACTGATCCTCCGATCACCCAGTAATTAAGTCTCCATCAGGGATTGATTGTTTCTGCCTTCCAGGGCCATTCGGATCACGGGACTGGGTATACTGTTGTACAGTACATCCCTAGAAGCCCTCTGCTATGCTCGCACATGTAACAAAAGATGGTCGGAGGATATAAAAGACACAGTCAGTAATCAGGCTGTCTAGTGAATCCATCAGCTATGCAAGTTATAGCTACCTATAATTAAGAGCATTGCTTGCCGAGCGTACAAACAAACATGGGTAGGTATACTGAGATAGTCTCTCGCCCCCGGACGGATCAACGTGGATCCGACGGAGCTGTAGCGTGCATCCCCGAACTTTTTCGGGCCTCCGCCATAGTAGTAGATTCTTGACCTCGGGAATCACCACCTAATTACGAGGAAGTTGATCTTCCTCTGTGTTCGCTACTCCGTCCATTACACCCCGAGGACTATTCCGGGCAGTCGAATACCCCGACCATCATGGCAGACTCCTCCAACCCCAAGCCCGCGGAGACTGCAGGGCCCGCTCAGTCCGCGGCCTCGAAGCCCGCCTCCAAGCTTGTCAACCCTGCCTTCAGGATGATGGGTATGGCACCTCGCCCTTTCCCATTGTCTTCTAATCATGAAATCGTACAAACTAACAAATCGACTCCCAGGTCTCCCCAACATCAAATTCCGCCTCCCCTCCCGGAACTGGATGATCTTCTGGACCATCACCGGCTCGTTCACCGCGGCCTTGATCTACGACCGTCGAGAGAAACGCCGCGCCCAGCAGAAATGGTGTGACCTGGTGGCGCACCTGTCCAAGGAGACGCTGCCCGTGGAGCAGATGCGCCGCAAGATTACCGTCTTCCTGGCCGCGCCGCCCGGAGACGGGCTCCGGGTCGCCCGCGACCACTTCAAGGAATACGTCAAGCCGATCCTCGTCGCCGCGGCGGTCGACTACCAGGTCATCGAGGGCCGGCGCGAGGGCGAGGTGCGCGCGGGCCTGGCCGAGCAGATCCGCAAGACGCGACGCCGCGCGGGCGAGCCCAGCTCCGTCGTCGAGGAGCCCAGCGTCGAGGGCGTCGTCTACGACACGCGGACGCACCTCGGCATCACAGACGAACCGGGCCCCAAGGGCGATCTGGTGATCGGCCGACACACCTGGAAGGAGTACATCCGGGGTCTGCACGAGGGCTGGCTCGGCCCTCTGGACCCCCCTCCTGCACCCACCGAAGACGAACAACAACAACAACGACAACAACCACCCTCACCCCCCGTTCCCGAAGACGTTGCCCCCGAAACCCCCGAGAAGCAAGAAGACACCACGCCCTCCGAAGAGCCAAAGAAAGAGGAAGAGAAGAAGAAGGTACCCACCGGTCCGACCCCAACCTACCTCCCCACCAGTGCCTACGACCAGCAACCCCTCCCGCCGACCCTCCCCGCCACCCTCGACGGCTCCGTGCCCATCGCCTTTCCCCACCTCCTGGGCTTCCTCAACACCCCGATCCGCATCTACCGCTACCTGAACCGCCGCCACCTCGCCGACGAGATCGGCCGCGACGTCGCGGCCCTGGTCCTCGCTTCCTCTAGCCGCCCATACACCACCACCACCGCCGCCACACCTGACTCTTCCGAATCCCTCACCACAAGCTCCGACCCCACCCCGATCCCCGAGCAACAAACCATCCTCGCCTCCGCCGAACGCGACTGGCACAAATCCGTCCACCGCACGGACGAAACCCAACCCGACAAGGAGCGCGAATGGCTCGATCCCATCGTGTTGGACCCCCGGCTAGCCTCCCGCATGCACCGGTACACCGTGTCCCCCGAGGAAGAAAGCCGGGCGACCCGCATCGCCAGCGGTGAGGAATATATCCGCGGCGAGGAGCGGCCCGCCCCCGTGCCCGTGTGGCAGCGCCTGTGGGTGAAGTACGGCTACGGCGAGGACGAGGCCACCCTCCAGCGGCGGCCGATCCTGGGGAACCTCGACAACGAGGATGGGGAGTAGAATTTATGTGCATGTACAAGAGATCTTTGCCGCAAGGATCGGTATAGAATATAGAAGGGAAAGATGGGGGATTCTGTTTTGACGCACAAGTATATAGAGTTTTGTGGGGGTTGATCCAGTTCTTATGATAGGCCTCTTGTGGAAACGAGGCTGTCGTCCTTGTTGATATGATATGTCATTTGCATTTGTTTTTGTTGTCATTCTGCATGGGAAAAGGAACCGTCGCTGCTCTTGGTTGTATCTCTATCTGCTTTTTCATTTCTGGTCGTATTTAGAGGTGTATATTATTCCAATCTAGAGGTGTTTTGATTGTGCAGGCTTCTTGTTGTGTAAATATTCTTTTGCGGGTGTCTAAAATATACCAGAGGAGCTCTGCCTTGAGCCTCGCAAACCGTCTTGAGTAACCGCTTCATGTCAGTTGGTATTCTTGAACATATGTAGCTAGAGCAAGTAAGCTACGTTGACAGCATTAACAACTAACCTAGTGATACACACCCTGAAACTTCGAAAGCTCTTTTATAACGTCTAGCTAAAATTGCCTCCCCCCTCTCTTCTTCTACGCGTTCCCATACCATGCAAACAAGGTATACTTCAAACACGCAACTGCAATAGCTATACCCAGGCTAATCACCAGAAACAAAAAAAGAAAGTAAATATCCAGTTCTGAAGAGATCACACACAACAAGCCCTGGTTGATTGAGCCGGGTAACGTGTGACAGTGTTATACCCATCCAACGCATTCTCCATTTTTCATTTTATTTCATCCTTTACTCCAGACGGAACACCGATGACTCAGGCCATTTGCTGCTGGCCTTCTGAGCGTAGGCGGTCTTGGCAGCCTGGTCGCTGCCCCACGCGGTCAGCAATTCCAGGCCGGTGAGCGCGGTATCGATGGTGATGTCGGTCGAGTCAAGCGTGGCGGTAAGCTCTTGTTCGCATTGCGACCTGGTGTCGGGCTTCAGGAGCTGCCGGCTGGTGAGACCGGCCTGGACTTGAGGGACACTGTCCTTGTGGGTGGAAATGAAGGACTCGTTCCACTCGTCCAGGTTCATCGATTTAGGGAGCAAAGCCTCGAATTCGGCGTTGACGGCCTCAGCCACTTCAGCAGGAAGGGGCTCGGACAGGTTGTCCAGAGCTTTGCGGAGTCGGAGGATTTGAACGTGGAGAGTAGGGTTGGCGGCGTCGATCGAGTGGGCGGCAGTCAGGCACTTGAGGGCGAGCGCGTATTTACCTAATCGAGGGTGAGATTAGCAGGGGTGGTGGTAGCAAATTGCAAGGCGATGGACATACCTCTTCTGAGATAAACCTCGAATCCGAGAGTCTGAGCCTCAATGCTCTTGGGGCTGAGCTCCAACAAGGGTGTCAAGAACTTCATCGCCTCCTTGAGCGGGTCCTGGGTCGCGACCAGCTTGGTGCCAAGCGGATCAGGGTCCTCCTTCTTGACGTCTCCGTCGGCGCTCTTGCCGGTGCTGGCCGCTTTTCTTGCCTCGCGCTTCTCGGCCTCCAGCTTCTCCAGGCGCTGCTGCTCCTTCTTGGCCCTCTTGAGGGCCTTCTTGCGCTCGTTCTCATCCTCTCCGACCCCATTGGTAGCCATAGGTCCGTGGGCCAGATCCGGCTGGTCGTGCAGGAGCAAGTATGACTTGATGGCCGAGAAAGCCACACGGGTGTAGAAGGGGTGCTCGCGCAGGCGGTCCTCCCAACGGACCATGTCCACGTACGCGCGGATCATGCCCTTCCGCAGCGAGAAGCTGTGGAAGTCGAACTGGTCTTCTTGCCAGGTGTCGAAGATGTTGTAAACGGCGTGGAAGCGCTTGAGGGCGAGGCCGAGCTTCTTCTGGCGCAGGTAGGCCTCGCCATCCTCCGTTAGGTACCACACACACTGCATCTCATGCAGATCGCCCAGAGCGCCTCCAACAGTCTCGTTCCGGGTGAACTTGCTCATGTTGTCAAGACCCTTCTCGTTGTCGTTGTTGCGGAGCTGATACTTGGCAGCCTTGGAGTTGATGTAACGGTCCTTCTCGTCCAGCAGACGGGCCTTCTCCATCTCCTCGGCGGCCTTCTCGAGGTTGCCGTGGTGCTTCCAGATCCGCGCCTTGGTCATCTGGTATTCCACGGCCTTGGGCGAAAGTTCGATAGCCTTGTCGACATGCTCCATCGCCTTGGTCAAGTCCCGGCTGAGGTGGTAGTTGTAGTGCTGGGCGAGGAAGTAATGGGAAGAAGAAAGGAATTCGGTATTGTCGCTGTCGGCCTGACCCTCGGCAGAACCGTTGGATTGAGGAGTCGAGACGTAACCCTCAACCAGCTCCTGAACAGTATCCCGCTTAGCCACGTTGGTATAAAGGGCCTTGATGTTGGCAAAGAGCGAGGGAACGCCCTTCTTGAGCGAGCGCTGCAAATAGGCATCGGCAGCCTGCTTGAAGTCGTCTCCCTCGAGGA